CGAGAAAGACGGCTATAGTTTTGTATATCCCCAACATTTGTTTGAATTCCTGCTTAACATACATCCAACAGACTCGGGTGGCAAGTGTAATGGCGAGCTGTTGTCATATGTGGTAAATATATTGAGGCCAGGTTGTGACGTCAAGGGAACCTTATCAAACTGCTTGTATGCTTAGTGTTAATGGGCGTTTCAGCGATACACACACATTTTGAACACGGGAACGCTGTTCTATGGAAGATTTGTGCATGTAATCATCAAAAAGTGTACTTCAGTATAGCTAATGGCTAGTAAGTAGCTCCTAATAGCGATTATTCTATTATCCTCGAGTCATCTGTTTTCGTTCATCATCTGTTTTCGGTCGGCCGTTTGCGTGTTCATTTCTCGCGGTTATTAGCGAGATTTTACGTCACCAAACAGGTTATTTTTAGCAGGATGTCGACTGCTTCAGCTCTGACTAACAAAATGCTTCGTGTGAAATTTAGTAAGGTACATGATTGCAAACACACGTAAATGTTACGTTTTAGAACCGAGTTTACTAATGCATAAATTTTCATGTAATCAAAATGCTATATCTAAAATATCGTCAGATCCACCTTTTCAGTTATAGCGTCGTCTGCTTGTTTATAGTATGACGTATTATTATCCCATGACATATTACGTGGCGTTGCCGTCGTAAAAAAATATATGGAAACTGGATAGGATCATCTCTTATTACGATTTTCCAAAATATTCATTTAATTTTCGAAACTGCAATTAATATATTTCTGTGTCATGGGCCCAGTGTACTCATCCTGCATGCTGTCATTGGGTCCACCTCAAGCTGTGCACCTCCGTATGTGTAGTGAGATCTTCTGATGAGTTTTGGTGCCCTTGTCAGCGCGAACCGGAGGAGTGAAACATGCCTGGACATGTGATGTAACTAGCGAAGTCTTATCATGATTAACTTTGACATGAAATTATTACGACCATAGTTTCTAATAATTATTATTGGAACTATTACAAATATTCTTTTTGGACTGGATGTTTATTAACTTTATATTATAAAAATATCAGCATAGCACGAATACTGCTATTTGATTCGTGTTTTACGGAGAACCAATGAAGTGAACGAAAACAGATGACGTCACTTCCGCATTCAGGATCTTTGCGTAGCGAACTACGAGGCCTGCTATGCGGGTGAAACACGAGGTTAATCCGTCAGATATTTGAATATCATAAATAAATAACAAACAAACGAGGCAGGATTGTTTATTATCGATTTATTTATGCACTTAATGTTACGTTGGTCGACAATCCTTACATGACCGAAAACCGAATACACAAGGATAATCCAAAGTGACATTTAGTTCAGTGAACCTTATTGATAATTGTTTGTTCGCATTGCTTGTTGAATATTGCCAAGGGTATTGCTTACCCTTACATTACTGTACGTGGAGGATATTTGAATTTTCTTCTCAAGTAACATCATGTTTATGATCAAACAGTGATGGGAGCACGAACCTGAAAATATTGTGTATCTACCACTCACTACGCATTTATTGCCCATCCATCTTATCCTGTCATTTATGCACATTACTCTGTTTCAAGTGTAATCACGGCATGCATGTAAATGCCGGAGCGGTTGGCTAGCCCAGTGGTTACAGCGTTCAATTCCCCACATGGGTAAAATGTGTGAAGCCCATATGATATTGTTGGAATATTGCAAACAGTGGCGTAAAGCCATACTGAGAACTGCACGCTGAATGTATGTTCTTCTTAAGTGTAAAGAAACAAGACGTGGCCCTAATATCCTGAACGACCAGGACACAATGTCAGAAATGAAAGCAAAAGGTACTAGGTGTAAACAATATATTAATTGCTACCCTTCCTCACACACACAATTGAAATTTAGGGGTAAGGCCATTTAGACAAGCACCTTGTGTTATAACTATTAGATGGTGAATACACAAACACTTGCTTATTTTAGAAGCGTTCATTTGACTCTGCTTCTGATGATTATGAACTTTTTGTTTCTTTATTACGACTGACTTACTGAGTTTGGTTTTACGAGGCTTTTAGCAATATTCCAGCAACATCACGGCGGGGAACACCAGAAATGGGCTTCACACATTGTGCCCATGTGGGGATTCGAACCCGGGTCTTCGGCGTGAAGAGCCAACGCTTTAACCATTAGGCTACCCCAACGCCCCTTCTTTATTACGAATACGCACCAAATTGTTCATGTATCGATGTTGAATCAAGTTTTAAACGCTTTTCAGAAGCTTACCTGTATGTTGAATGGTGGATCTACAAGAGTTTGAAATCTTGTTTATGGGACTCCTGGTTGTGAGTGCAAAAACACAACCGCGATTGTGACATTTCCGCCTGGATATATCCCTCATTGTGAGTGGGATATCGTGGGTGGTAATTTCGACAAGGCGAGCACTCATTTTGCAACAACTTGAATACCATGCTGAGTCACTCCTAAACTATGCAGAATAAAGACTTCAACAACGAAATACCCATGAACGTATGTATGATGCGATGATACTAAACAACTTTGTGACACTGAAAATCGGAATCCACAGAATAACGTTACATCACATGGTTGTGATAACGTGGACTTGATATCTGTGTACACAGTAAATTGAAGAAATACCACTGGCAGTGTGAATGATTAATATGCATATCTGTTTCTAACGGGTTGCCAGTTTTCGACTAACGGTTACATGAACACCCAAACCTGTTCTCGTTCTTACAACGTATATGACGCCTTTGTGAATCAAGCCTGCTTTTTAACACATCGTGGTCTGGAATTGTACTCAAACATTGACTACTTAGACCTAACCAGTGAAGGTCCGGGTTAGAATATTGATCTTCAGTAACACATGTGTGCGTGTGTGCGTGCGTACGTGTGTGTGATATTTTATTGTGAGACTTCCTAAATATTATAGTACACAAACATCTTTGACTACATGGAGCAAACCTTTTCCAGTTTCACCATGATAATTGCATTTCAGAAGTTCGTTGTTCATACATTCCATGTTCCACACAAACTATTCCAACCAGCGCTTTTGACACACTTTAGCCTTAAGTATAAATTTACGTGCATGTGTAAAGGTACACACACTCTGGTTACTAGTTGGATAAATGTTATTAAAAGTCCATATCTTTAAAGCCTTTTGAATTCTGTGGGATAAAAGGGCTCTGACATTCAATTTGAAAACCAGTTGATGGTTATATAAGAACGAGTAACCGTGGTTTGGAAACACAGAGAAACCAACTCTCGTAAGGATTCGCAGTGAGCATTCAGCTTACCCAGATATAACTTGAAAATGTAGCTTGCTGTGTATACATGTTCTTTCAGGTGTTCCTTATTCGTTGCCATGAGTATATGATCAAACGCTGCTGCTTCTGTCTGTACCGATTCAATTGAAAACTCGGTTATCAAATAAAAGAATCAAAAAGAATTATTCCTTTTATGACGTAGTGATAAACTGTTACACTCCAAAGAGAGTGGATTTTGGCAACAGTATAATCCTTGTTCGTTTGTAAGTTTCTGAACAGGTAGTTAGAAATACATCTCCTTGGCAACCGAGTGTCAGCATCTTAAACATGCACAATTATCTGTACTTGCAGCATACGACGGGGTAGTTTATGTTCATCACTGAGTTATTAAGCCGACAAGACTATTACTTCATTTTACTTAATGTCAAATCCTTTAATTACATCGGTTAATGAATATTGTCTTGCTTACGATTTTACGTAACTGTACTGAGGATTCTTCATTTTCTATCCGCAATTCGTTGTGCAGAGTTACGCCCCTTGTAGTGCTTGTATATGTATACGAACAAAAGAAACGAAAATGTGTTCTTCAGTGATCGTTTTATTCATATGTTGCACCTACATTTAATACTATTAAAAGACAGAAAAGTGCATATGACAAACAGAAAAATACTCTGCTGTAGGTGTCCAATGTTCATGAATTATTTCCAATCTGGTTTGAGTACAAAAGCACAATAAACGTCATATTAATACATTCAGATCTATGTTACCTGAGGGATTTGTTACATGTACAACATAGACAAGCAGACATGATCCCTGAATGGTTATATTATGCATTTCTGGACAGCTTTTAAATACATAAAGATATAAAACAACTATATAAAGTATATTCATATAACTGAATTCGAAAACAAACATCTAATTTTATTTATCATGACAAAAAAATGAAAAAATGAGAGATAAATAAAACAGATCAATACATATCACAGCATGCCGTATAATGTCACCTATTATCTTTTTGAAGACGCTTCATAAAAAAATCAAAGGTATCCTGTGGCAAAGTACACATTTATTTACTACGGAATAATGGGCTGATGTCACAGACTCTGACCCCTTCCCGTATGATCTGAGGCATTGTTGGTAGCATCGTTCTTGCTATAATCATACTTTTTTATGGGCAACAGAATACCTTAATAACCTACACATGGTATAAACCAAACTGAACTGAACGTATATTCACTCAGACCGCACATGGTATAAAGCAAACACAAGTGTATAGGTCTATTCAGTGAGGTTAACTACGCCAGAGCCATTCGCTAAAGCACCTCTGCCCATCAGTCATTTGAGTGGAGGTCTATTGTGCTATTTCAAATGGCCTAATGACCTAACTATCCTGTTGTAGTCATGACAGTGAGTGAGTGAGATAAAATTTAAAGTCACTTTGGCAATATTTCAGCCATATCGTGACTAAAACAACATATATATTAACAATAATTAAAGATAGAGTATAAAATCCTGTCATCAAAGGACAGTAAATCAACTAGAATATCACAGATATAAATGTAAAACTAGCAATTAAATCTAAAACATTTTAACTTTAGAGAACAACACAATATAAAAATAGGCTATAAATCACCAGCAACTGAAGGTAGTTCACCATACTATGGACCATGGGGACTTACAGTACCTTTGCTACAGTCACGATAGAATGGTGATATCATGCATTTGATAATCGATGATGGATGTACACATGGACCTTCAATATTTGTTTGGCAGTGCTTCCGCATTGACGTTCCCACAAGAAGGTACGGCAGAACCCTGAGCTGCCAGTGTGTAGGTAGGAGGTCCAGTGTAGGTTGTGGCGGGCATTGCGTTGGTGATCTGAGCTTGGCCAAAGTGGTTGATCACAGGTACCTGGCCTACAGTATATTGCACTGGGATGTTGGTGGTAGTGGTGCGTTGGCCGTGTTTGTAGATGCATATGCCGATTACACTTATTATGAGTAGCAAAAGAAACGCGCCGCCGATCGAACCTCCAACAATGGCTCCAACATCAGAATCCCAATCTATAAAATATGAGGATGCACAAATATTAGATGTACCTGATAATTCGTACATGTACCAAGTCATCTAAGTCCTGCAAAAGTTTGATTTTACGTGCATATCTTCTGAAGCACCATGGTATAAGTTTTTCTTTGGTTTTGTTTGGTTTCACGATGTTGATAAACGACTAGAATAATATTTATTTGAGGAGTTTCTCGCCGTTAAATATGGAGTTCCTGTATATTGTGATACCCACTCTGATGAATACAACAAATCGTGGATGTTTAGGTAAACAGGGGCTTCAGTATTGGCCTTTATTGTAAAAGGTTACACCTCTCTAGTGGGTTATTGCTGAAATGATCACATTGCAGATCCAACTTACATGTACACACAAACATAAACTGTATATTGCGTACCCTTATCACAGACTTTCTTAACTATTTATTCGTCTTTAACCACATGTACTAACACTGTTGCCAACATTAAAATATATAAGTATAAGTTCGACGGAAACAATATCGACTGATGATATGATTTTTGTACTTATTTTTTAAAAGTGTAGCCTGAAATTGATGACACGTATATCACATATATGGTACCAAAGTAACTGCAACTCTCCATAATTTGAACATGCAAAAGTAATATAACAACTATTTGTATACAATAGTTTTTAATCTTCCTTCTTAACACATCAGTAGTCAGGAAACTACTTTTTCTGTTGGCTATCTGATAAATATTTCGTTATATACTTCTTGCAGTCTGTCTCTCAGGTCTATACAATTAGCAGGCAGTGAAGTACCCCCGATGACAATTAAGATAAGAGGACATATTACAAAAGTAATACGAATTTCAAATTCTTTCGAATCCAAATTTAATTAATTTCTGCGAATTCCAGAGTTTGTTTCTGCCTGTTTTAATATTTCTTTCTTTGACTTTATTCTATTGCAAATTTCATTCCTTATCTTTATAATTCTAACCGGTAAAGTTCCGGGTTAGAATTGACCTACAGTAACCAATGCTTGTCGTAAGAGGCGACTAACGGGATCGGGTGGTCAGGCTTGCTGACTTGGTTGACACATGTCATCGGTTCCCAACTGCGCAGATCGATGCTCATGCTGTTGGTCACTGGATTGTCTGGTCCAGACTCGATTATTTACAGACCTCCGCCATATGGCTGGAATATTTTTTAATTCTGCGTAAACTTAACTCATTCACTCAGCTTATACTTTTAAAGTAGTAATTGCCATCCCCGACAATTTGTCATGTGCTGTCTGTCACCGAAAATCCTGTACTACTGGATTATCAAATTTAATCAAATAACATATGTCAGGGTAGAGATTGCGATCGGAGTCTCTTCCAGTAGAGACTCTGATTATATAGAATAACCTATACAATCGCAATCTCTACCAGTAGAAGCTCAAAACTGATCCTACTAGTAGAGATTGCAATCTAAGTGAATATTTAGAAAAACAAAATTTATTTTCGTATATTATAGAATGACATCTTCCACTGAAAAGTGCACACTGTTTGTCCAACTTGATGTTTACAAACAAAATGAAAATAAAACATTGTTACTTTGTTTTCATTTATGATTGTTATTGTAAATAAATGTAACTCTAACCCCAATATATATCTGGCCGGTCATTTCCCCACCTTCCTGTTCAATGGCAGCTAAAGGTAAATATAGAAAAAACTAAGGTATTCGGCTACGTATGGGTTAATCAAGATGTAGGTTGTATTAACAGTTTTATTTCAAGTTTTAACGAAAGATATATTGCTATTGATATTTTAACCAGTGTTTCTTTGAAAGTATATCAAGTTATTCCAAACTTCTGTAACCTGTATATAAATCTGTTGAAAGTGAAATTAAATGTGAGGATTATGTGAAAAGGTCGCCCGGATAAGAACGTGAACATGGCACAAGTCGAGGAAGGGGGCGACTTTGGCCAGACAGCCCCATGCTGTGGACCTAACTGCCGCAACAACATACAAACAAGAAACATATGTGGAATCTTCGCAAGTATGTCACTTATTCCCTCGTCCAACTCACACAACGCAGCCATCATATTTACACACCCGGTTCATTTATTGTCATTCATTATGACCTGTCCTAAAGTCCTTTCAGCTCGATGTGGTTACAAATTGTATGATCAACTTGTCCGACACTTACCTGGTGAATGATAATGGTATTCGACGGTATACTCTATCATGAACCCACGATCATATAGATGGATTATTGCTGAATGCGGCGTAAAATTAAACTCACCTACTCACTCTATAATTTTAAAGTAGAAATGCGTCCAACCCCACTCGACCGCCATATCTTTACATTCTGATTCATTTCTTGTAAATGTCTGTCTCAAAGTTCTTTCAAATCGATAACAAGGAACATGGGGTTATAAATTGTATTTCCGACTAGTCCGACACTTACCACGTGAATGATAAGTATATACGTTGGTATACTGTATCCTGAACCCACGATCAACATCAGATGAATCCGACTCGAATTTGAGGAATATAACAGGACCAGAACTGCGTTTGATAGGTTCACTCTTTCCACACCAGCGACCAAGTGAAGGGGCATTCGAGTCCGGCCCTTTAAAACAACAAGTCATATATTTTCTGCAAACCAATACCGACACATGTTCTATATGTCTACTAGAATCCGGTAGTTATACTGGAGCCAGAAAGACCATTACCTCAGGACTGGACAATAGCGGTACAGAAACCTTATACTATCATATTGGCTAAGATTGATGAGACAACCAATTTCACGGTATTCAAGGTGTAGTTATGAAATGCTTAACACATTTGATGATACTGGAGATACTAATTGGGTTTCCTTCGTTAGAACTATTCTCTTTAGTCATGGCTTTGAAAGTGTGGCTCGCTCAAAATGTAAGCAATGTTTCATCGATGTATTCAAGAAAGCAGAATGCAAAGAGACATATATCAACAAGACTGGTATAATGAAATAACGTCATCAACCTGTTTCAACTTTTATTCAGTGTATAAATATTGTATTGAAATTTATCTCTTAAAGATTAAATCATCACAACTTAAGCGTACGCTTACTAAGTTAGATCTGATGTAAACGCTCACAACTTCAAATTGCAAAGAGCGGCACGATTTGCCAGAACTGTAAACAATAATACATATCAATGTCCATTTTGCAATCCATCTCAGCAGATGAAATGAGAGAAAACTAATTTGCCTCATTTTCTCTACAACCAGCCGTTGAGACATAAAAATTCTGTATGCTACTTCACACAGAAATATTGACTTATTGTGTTGTACCACATACTTAGGTTGAGGGGAAAAAATGTAAACTGTTAATGTGTAGCGGTGTTTATCGGTTTATTGATGTTCAATAACTCGCGTATTTACAGGTTTACGCATAAATTCACTGTTATAATTTTACTCATGTACTATTGGCCTAGGTGCCACTTATACAAATAAATAATCTGTCTGTCTGTCCAGAAACTTTATACATAGAGATGTTTATACGCACCCACACCATTTACTAATGCACGCGCACTTTGCAACACAGAGATTACAGAACATTTTCACCTCGATCATTAGATGTTAGTAAGATGTTTCAATTGTTTATTATGAAAATGAAAACAACTGTATTCAGAAATTGCTTGCCAGATGACTAAAACAGTTTTTCGAAGAATATCAGAACAACAGAATGCCAACGGCCCATCTCTTACCGTCAAATGCTTCCACGTAGTCGCTGACACAACCAGAAAGGAGTTCTCAGGTCTAGATTCAATAACGTTGACTTTGACAATGTGAGTATCCATCTGCCGTAATCTTCCAGCCGACCTCAGCGTTACTAGAATACAGAACACACGTGTATTGTGGTCACACGATCTGCCTAAACAGTGGACGTAGACGATATGTAAACCTTTCACCAGTGATGAATTTTACATGCTTGTTCTACTTGCGACGTCATGACATTTCTAATAAAACTATTTCATGTGGTAAAGAGTTTAACACTCGTGTTGATCCCGGTAGGAACTGATTTTCAGCACCTCATGTTTGTCTTACTTAAGAAGCGAAAACGCCGTCGGTTGGTCACGATCGCTGACCTGGTAGGTGCATGACATTGTTCTTATTCTTTTCAATATTATAATCATTTTTTATCTATATTACATCATACCTACGTTTGTAACTACGTGCATACATCAACTAGACTGCTAACAGCTGGAGAGGTTGATGTAAATCCAGCTAGGGTCATGCAGGAAGCAAATGTGCTGTAAGTCCCCATGGTCCCTAGTATGGTGATCTACCATCAGTTGTTGGCAATCTATAGCCTGTTTTTATATTGTATCGCCTTGTATAGTTAAAATGTTTTAGATTTAGTTACTAATTTCTATCTGTAATAATCTAGTTGTTTTACTGTCCTTCGTCGACGGGTTTTTATAATTTACCTTTAATCTATAACCCGAATTTAGACACGATGTGGCTGAAATATTGCCAAGTGACTTTTAATTTTTAACTCACTCACTCTACAGCACGAACTTAGGAAACACTAGTTTACGCCGGTCTTACCATTATCTGAGTCAAAACAGGCTGACCAAATGGTGATTACCTTTCACGTTTTTCGGCATGGTATTGACGGTCGGCATAAATAATCGTAAGTGTGGAAAGGACATATAATCGTATAGTACGAGCACTCACCTCGGGTGATTAAATGGGTAGGTTCGGAGAATATATGTAGTTGATGAGGGTAGGAAGCTGAAAACTCTTCGGTCTCAGAAACTGAAATATTATATGACACAAGACTTAGATTGTATGTGTACACGTGTGTATGTATGTGAGTGGGTGCGATGTGTTTCATGTGTGAATGTATGACTTGTATTTCTGTGAGCGATATATTTTTCCAAATGGGAATGTAACCAACTAGAAAATTCGTCGTAACTTAAGTAATATGCACAAAAGTGATGTACAAATTGAAATATCAAATTCATTTTTAAAATCATCGCTTGAAACGTGTTTGGATCCCTCTTAATCAAGTGACCTAAAGGGTTTCTGGAAGGGTAGGGCGTCTTTCAATACACACGAAAACAGTCAATATCAGGATCAGTGTCCAGTCATGTGTACTGTCATTTCAATATCAAATGTTCTCGTCACGATATGGCTGAAATATCGCCGATGTGACGTTAAATATTAACTCACTCACTCATACTCATGTGTACTGCAGGAGGTTACATGCAACGTCATATTTGTCCAGTGTTGGAATTATGCATACAAGTCTCTTACCGCTAAAGTTCCCCGCTTTGAGTTGCATTTGAAATCCTTTTGTGTCTGGTTGATGAGTCAGAATGAAACCTTACGGTGATGATGTGACCGGAACTGATGTAGTCAGTGTCGTCATCCCCAAAATCTCCGGGACTTGACGAATTGGTTCTTAATACTGAACACAAAATACGCGTTAACACAAATCGAGGGCATGTATTCATAAAACAAATGATATGAGTAACATTATGTTTAAGTATTAGACGCTTATGCGTTTACACTGCTTCAAGTGTATGTTCAGTGATACCGCCGCGGTTTGCAAACTCTCAGATGAAAAGCTCCAATTACACGTCGTAGACATTTGCAATATTGGGGAAACCCATGATCTTCACTACATTGTTCATTATCCAATGGAAAAGATGACTTCGTGAACATCAGAGTTTAAAACATTATGTCCTTCCCCTCCCTCCCACTTCTTTAGCACGTTATCTTTACATCTTGTTCAAATGACACATACAAAATTAGAGTATTGGTATATTCCTATGTTACAATTATCAAATGGTTTAAAGAATTATTACCATCGTATATTTCCAGGAAATCGTATGTACATCGGGATGTTGATTCCAGCAATGCGTTCCTGACTTTAGCTTCAATATTCGTGTTTGCTGGAGCATGTATGGTCCAGATGCATTCCTGGTTGCTGAAATAACAATCATAACAGACTGGTTTATGCCATCAGAGCACACAAAGAATACTTACAGGTGAAAGAGATTTTCTCGTTCATGATGTCGTGTATACCAAAAATATATAATAATTTTTATGATGCATAGGAAGCGCATAGAGTCTATGAAATTACAACAACACAAATATTTTTATTTATGGCTATATGAAATTCGTAGACAGATGTAAACTTTCACATGCACTGTAATGCTTGAATATAGAAGATCAATATCATTGTTTTCTATATTCTTAATCTTAACATAATTTCGAAATCTGAAAATTTCAACTCGCTAGCCATGTGCCGGCCCATGGGCGAGAATGTTAATTCGCTCAGAATTCATGTTTTGGATATTGTAAAAGTGAATGAGTGTATGCTTAAAGCATCATGGCCTGAGATTTTAAACTCATTTTGACTTAATTCGGCTAATTTAGAGCGATATTACAAAATCTCGCCCATAGGCGAAAAACAATTTGACCATTGGCGAGAATATTTACTTTACTCAAAAACATGTTTTCCAAGTTTTGAAAGGTTGTAAATGAATGAAAGTATGTTTATAAGTTTCATGACACAAAAAGTCAGCTCATTTTGACTTATATCGGCTAATTTGGGGCGATATTAAAAATCTGCATTATTTACGCAAACATGGATTAGCTAATAATGCATTTGCCGGGAAGACCACATTCACTACGATCTTGCTCAACTATACGCATTGAAGTTGACATTTATAAATCTTATCTTCTTCTTATTCTTCAGGGACTCCAAATTTACAGTTTAAATGTAAAGATAAATAAATACCAAAATATAGAAATATCAAAGTTATTGCCGTTATGGTTTAATCGTCACAAATTAGTAGTCAAGACCAAGTGGATTAGCTCCTTTTGGAAAGATTTGTTTAGCATTCCACATGTACATCAACTTTCCTAAAAGTAGTTTAAAATTAAGTTTCATGTTAAATACTTTTGTGACAGCTTGTGCAGCATAGACATTTATGAATAGCTGTTAAATTACTAATGGTATTGTAATATAGCTTGTAGTAGTGTTGTAATGAAGCTGAATGGGTCTAGTTCTGTTGCCTAGCGCTTGTAGAGTATGGTCCACACTTGCTGCAATAGATGATCTATTATGACTATTTCCATGGAAGCTATGTTGTGTGGGAAAATTACTTCTGATAGTTTCGTTATTGTCTATTTATGTTGTTGATAAAGCGTCATATGACTTGTATACAACATAGGTGATTACTTACAACGTTTAAGATAGTTCACACAGCTGATGTTTATAGCTTAGCATGTATTGGTATACATTGTGAACTTCAAATAGTGTTACCTACTTGTCATGTATCATTATTTAATAGTCCTATAGAACATTAAGTTTTGTTTGTGTGTTTTGGTTAACGCCACATTCAGCATTATTCTAGTGGTGTGACGGCAGAGAAGCTGTGTAATAGAGTCTGAACTAGAACAATCCGGTGATTGAAACCACGTGTGTCGATTGGCTACGACGCCAAACAAATACACTAGCCGTGAGTGAAGATCAGTTCTGACACGAGTTGTTCACATATATACATTTAGTAGTATCTGTTGCACAACAACCGTAAATTGCTTGCAGGTTGGTAAACATTTTCTTACTATGGA